GTGCCCCAGCCCCGCCATGCCTCTCCGCAGCTCCGGCTACGCCAGCTACCCCTACCCTGCCCGCCACAGCATCCCCCAGCACTTTTACGCTGAGGACCCGGCCAAAGCTGCCGTCCACACGGTGCCCCCCCGGACGTTGTACGTGGAGGAGGCACGGGGCTACCCGGTGCAGGAGGCGCCCACTCGCACCTTCTATGGGGACGAGCCCCGCTTTTACGCCCCCCGCAGCACCCCCGTCAAGACCCTCTATGCTGAGGACACCCGGACGTACCCGGCCCTCGGCTCCTCTGCCCGGGTATTCTACGCTGAGGACTATGGGAAGTACCGGGAGCGGGAGGTGCTGTCGCGGACATGCCCCCCACCCCGCAGCACTCAGCCCTTGCACTTTGGTGACTGGTACTGCCCCGAACGAGGCGCACTGCCCTACCAGACCTTGCAGGTGTCACGCTTCGCCCCGCAGACGGCTGGGCGCGAGGCCATGCTCTCCTCCTGGCATGCCAGCTATGGCGTCACCCCCCCACGGCTGGGCCGGGAGAGCCAGCACTACTCCAAATCCTGGGATAACATCCTGGCACCAGCGGCACGCAGGGAGGAGGTCCTGCAGCGCGGGCGCAGCTACGAGAACCTGCTCGCCCAGGAGCAGCACCGTGCCTTATCCCCCGAGGAGCGCCGGCAGCCAGTGGTAATCAACCTCTCAAGCTCACCCAAGCGCTACGCTGCCCTGTCTCTCTCGGAGAGCTCCATCCTCGAGAGGGTGCACGCTGACGGTGGACGTGGTCCCCCGGGCCGCTCCTGGTACGTCACGCCAGAGATCACCATCACCGATAACGACATCCGTGCTGATGGGCTGGGCAGGAGTGAGAGGCGCTCGGCCAGCTGGGACATGCTGGATGCGGGGCGGGAGCGTGGCCCCTACGCCGCGCCCTGCGCCCCGCAGCCTATGCCCAGGGAGAGTAGCTCAGGGCGCCAGCGCAGCCTGGAGCAGCTGGATGAGCTCATCACCGACCTTGTCATCGACTACAAGCCAGCACCGGGCCACCGCGCTGGGGACAGGGACAGCCTCGCTGAGCAGCTCAAGCAGCTCCTGAGCAGCAGTGCTCCGGGGCCCCCCCGGCGGGGTGAGGGCAGGAGGATGCCCCCCGGCGTGCCTGAGGGACCCCGACCCACAAAGGAGCAGCCAGGTCCTAGCTCCCGTGCCAGCGCCCCGCGCCCCCCACCCGCCCCACTGTCCGTCGGCCCCTTCGAGAAGTCACCGGAGAACTGCTCGCCCGACCTCAGCGCGGAGGAGGACGACATGATGATGTGCTCCAACGCCAAGTGCCGGCGGACGGAGACCATGTTCAACGCCTGCCTCTACTTCAAGTCATGCCACAGCTGCTACACCTACTACTGCTCCAGGCACTGCCGCCGCGAGGACTGGGACACGCACAAGGAGAGCTGCGTCTACGGGCGTGTGGGCAGTGTCTGCCGCCATGTCCTGCAGTTCTGCCGGGAGAACGCCGAGGTGCACAAGGCCTTCTCGCGCATCGCCAAGGTGGGCTACCTCTCCCGTGGCCGTGGTGTCCTCTTCCTGGGCTTCCCCAATGCCGGCTCGGCCGAGAACTTCCTCCAGTTTGGGCTGGAGAGCCTGCTAATGTCCCCCACCTACCTGTCCTTGCGGGAGCTGGAGAGCTACTCAGACAACCTGGGGGAGTACGCCCGGGAGCTGCGGGAGACTGGCAACCAGTACGACCCTGACGAATGTTTCCTCCTGAATGTAACTGTGGCCGTCACCCAAAAAGTGCCAGAGAGGCCATCACCAAAGACGCAGGTGCCGACTGTCAGGAAATATGCCAAGGTGGCCTTAGCCTCCTCCAGCCCCGAGAAGAAGATCCTAAAGAAGGAGCGGGACATGGAGACGTTGATCCTGACACCGCCGCCCGGCACAGCGGACATCGACAAGGAGGGGGAGGAGGGCCGCAAGGCGCGGGAGGTCTGCTTCATCAACATCCAGCGGGAGCTGCGCATCCGCGGCGTCTTCCTACGGCATGAGTTCCCCGCCGTCTACGAGCAGCTCTGCGATTTCGTGGAGAGCAACAAACGCTTCACCCCCACCACCATCTACCCCATTGACAAGAGGACGGGCAAACAGTTCATGTGCATGATCATGGCAGCCTCTGAGCCCCGCACCCTCGACTGGGTGGCCAGCCCCAACCTCCTGGATGACATAATGTGAATGTGGGGTGTGGACCACCCCCCCCGGCACCCCTGGGTCACCCCCCCTTTGTAGATAGGTGTTACCCTGTCAGCACGGTGGGACGGGGACCCCCTCTCGGTTGCAGCACCGAGGGGAGGAGG